CTATATAAAACCATGGTATGCCCACATCTTGAATACTGTGGACAGATGTGGTCTCCTCATCTCAAAAAAGATATATTGGCATTGGAAAAGGTTCAGAAAAGCACAACAAAAATTATTAGGGGTTTAGAACATGAAGAAAGATTAAAAAGACACAAACTTTTCAGCTTAGAAAAGAGGAGACTAAGGGGGGATATGATAGAGATCTATAAAATCATAACTGGTGTGGAAAAAGTAAATAAGGAAAAGTTATTTGCATATTTCCACCATATAAGAACTAGGGGTCAGCAAATGAAATTAATAGGTAGCAGGTTTAAACCAAACAGAAGGAAATTTTTCAGCACACAGTCAACCTGTGGAACTCCTTGCCAGAGAATGTGGTGAAGGCTAGGACTTTAACAGGGTTCAAAAAAGAGCTAAATAGATTCATGGAGGTTAGGTCCATCAATGGCTATTAGCCAGGATGGGTAGGAATGGTGTCCCTAGCCTCTGTTTCCCCAAAGGTGGGTGACAGGAGAGGGATCACTTAAGGATTACATGTTGTGTTCCCTCGCTCTGGGGTATCTGGTATTGGCAACTATCGGCAGACAGATACTGGACTAGATGGACCATTGGTCTTACCCAGTATGGCAGTTCTTATGTTCCTTATGAGCAGCTTGAGACAGAAACTGTCTTTTCCAGTTCTACCCTGCACTCACAGTCTGAAAATCCACTGCAAGGAAGGGAGTGGTGTTATTGGAGTGAGGCCTAAAGGGTTTGGTTTATATCTGCAGATACATATTTCCTGACCCAGCATTAAATAACTACACAACCATCTCACACTCAGATTACTCCTATTTTGGGCCTAAATACTGTTTGTTAGGGAGAGAGAGATGCCAATCAAAATATGACTGTGTATAATAATATTGCTTTTGTAGCCAAATAGAATATAGTTCCAGAATGTACCCCATGAAGAATGATCTCATCTGCATGATTTCATGCAGGCCGAACTGCATGAAAGTATGAGAGTAAAGAACGGCCTATTTCACTACCACTACACAATTAATCATCGACATCCCCGAGTGTTGTAATTGTATGCCAACAGCAGCAAAGTCAAAATTAAAGCTGAGTTCCAATACAACCAGCCAGACTTTAGGATTCTGTCTTATTCTTTTCAGTTTGTTCAGTTATGCAATAAAATATGGTCATTAGACCTTGAGAGAATAAAATCTTTTCTCTCTGATATGCTTTCTCAACAAGGGACACCGTATTTGAATGGGTACCCATCACACATTTCAGGCTTGGCAAATGGCCCATGAGACAAAAAGTTCAACACTTTATCTCCATTTAGAATCTATTTAAAACACAACCAGTTTGCTGTCCCCAACTTAAGAGACTATGGGTATGTCTAGATTACATGCCTCTGCCGACAGAGGCGTGTAAATTAGACATAGCAACAAAGTCAGTGAAGCGGGGATTTAAATATCCCCCACTTCATTAGAATAAAAATGGCTGCCATGCTGTGCAGGCTCAGCTGTTTGGCGGCACAAAGTGGCAGTCAAGACGTGGATTGGTCGGCAAGGGAAGCCTTTGTTGCACGAGGCATAAGGGATCGGTCGGCAAAAGCTTCCCTTGCCAACCGATCCGCATCTTGACTGCCGCTTTGTGCCGCCAAACAGCTGAGCCGGCACAGCGTGGCAGCCATTTTTATTCTAATGAAGTGGGGGATATTTAAATCCCTGCTTCATTGATTATGTCGGTATGTCTAATTTACATGCCTCTGTCGGCAGAGGCATGTAGTATAGACATACCCTATGTGTTGAGAAGCACTCTGCAAAGGATTCTAACTTTTTTATTCTGTCTGAACAAAACAAACAAACAAACAAAAAAGGACAACACTTCAGGGGATGCCAAATAATTATTACAAATAAGCAATAATAAATGCTATCAGGAATATGGACAGCTTGAGCGGAACATGCTAGGAATGTTAGCAACTAAATGACTAGGCTTATCGGGTAGAGTCACTACTTGACTATTTGCTTCCCCCCTTTGCTGCCTCTGTATCAGGCAGCAAGAGAGGGGTGAGCAGGAGCCAGTGCTGGGGCAAGCCAGCTTAAAAGATGGCTTTCCCCAGTCTCCATGGTGTGGTGGGGGAGCAGGGGAGGCAGAGGTGCAGCGGTTTGGGTCCTGGACTGCTATACCTCTGCTTTTTAAATGTAATAGGAGGCAGGCAGCTCTTACTACATTTAAAAGGCAGAGCTTCAGTACGGGTAGCTCTGGGACCCGGCGTGAGCCAGGACTAAGCAGTCCTGGCTCATGCTGGATCCTGGACCACTGCACCTCTGCCTTTAAAATGTAGTAAGAGTTGCTTGGCTCCTGCACCTGCGCACCTGGCTCCTACTACATTTAAACTGCAGAGCCGCAGTGAGGGTAGCTCCTGGATCCTGCCTCCCCTTATTGACTAATCGTGTTGTCGATGCAAATTGTATTGACTACACAATTAGTTACCCACTTCTTAACATCCTTAGAACATGCAGTTACAAGAAGCAAAGCTTTGTTATATGGTAGAAGTGGATTAAGAGACAGAAATGTACAAGACTGTGTTTGTCTCCGCTTCATATTCCCCTATAGAACTAAGCAATGGGGCCTTGCAGAAAAGTGTGATAATACATAAGATTGCACAGAAAAACTCCAGAGAGTTGTCTAGGAAACCATCATGGAGGTACTCGCTAATCCTCTGTGGAAGGTTCCTTGGCAGACAGAGTCATCCCTAGGAGGTCTGACACCCTGTGCAGCCTGAGCACCTACACCCTTCCCTGCCCCCGTGAGGTGGGTGCACTCAAAGGCTGCAGGGGAGTGCAGGGAGGGACACCGTGGAGGAGTGCAGGGAGGCAGCAGAGATCAAGCCCTCCTCCCCACACATCAGTGGCAGTGGAAAGTGGAATGACACAATCCCAGCCTACTCTGCCAGTTCCCAGCTATATCACTCGGGGAAGAGGCTTGAGAGGCATGATCAGCAGCACAGCATTCATAACACTGATTGTAAAACTAGAGAGCAGTGCAGGATCTATGCTCAAGCAAATATAGTCGGTGCATAGTTTACAAGGACTGTTGAAAAATGGTGCAAAATGTAGTCAGAAGCCCATGGAATGAACAGCATCATGGGATGTCAAGATGTCATCCATGATGCACTGTAATCCACTCCCTATTCCCACAACTCCTAGCTGCAGAAGGTGGCAAGTTGCACAGTGGGATAGCTACCCACAGTACACTGCTCTCTCTGTCAGTGTTAAAGAAACAACTGTGTTTGTGCTCCACCTACACCAGTGGTCCCCAACCTTTTGAGATTGTCGGGTGCCAGGGGGTGTGGCCGTTCGCCTGCCGGGTGCCAGGGGGCGGGGACACTTGCGTGCCCGGGGGCGGCCCCTCCCATAGCTGCATGCCCGGGGGCAGGGCCCCCCCATAGCCACGCGCCCGGGGCCCCCTCCAAGCAGGGAGGCTGCGCGCCCGGGGACGGGGCCCCCCTCAAGGGCCGCCAGCCCGG